AGTTAAGTCAGAAAACATCATAATTTTTATGTTCTTATTACTTCCATGGACTGTTTTTCACTATAGAATTTTCTATTTATAGTCTATTAAATAAAATATCCTAAATGCAAAATTAAGCATAATCATTCAACACTAACAAATACAAATACTACTATTTACTTCTGAATCCTTTTCAATGTCATTGACACTAAGCAGAACAGAAATTCAAATTAAACAATTTTAAAATTGTTTTACGTTGAGTCAAACCATGGTCTTATCTAGTCCTGATCTAACTGGGAATGCTAGTTCCAGGCCTTAAATGTTTTTCACCACTGCAGTAGAACAGGAAACAGGACACACAAACACACAATACCCATTAGCTTTTCAACACATTTATTGCATTCAGAAGCTGACATAACAATACAATAAAAATAAAAATAAATAAAATCATAGCTATACTCAATATAGAAAAAATCTGAAAGAAGGGTCAGCCAGACCAAAAGTATTCTGGAATAAAAGTATTTTAGTTTTAGCACATAAAAATAGTGGTCTTTACACTGAATGTTATATTTAATGGCATTAAATAATGGGTTAATCTATTATTGTGTAAGCCTGGAAATCAGAACTTGAGAGTTATGTTTCACTATGCACTAGAAATACAAATATGAGAATTGTTCATATGATGAAAACTGATCAGTAGAATTATCTTTAAATCTTATCCCCCCTTTCTTGGGTACTTAAGATTTCTTTTTAAATACAAGAAATACCTTTTATTTCTTTTTAAATACAAGAAATAAAAGGTACATTTGTATTAACCCTTTGAAAAGGCGTATCCAACACTGGAGAAATAAAAAAAAATGCGACTATTTTTGTTTGTTTGTTATATAAGTGGCAGCTTAAAAGAGCCCCATCCAATTCGTGAATGACAGATTTGCAGCCTACAAGAGAAAATCTTAAATCCTTCCTTTTTCCTCTGAAAACAGCACCGCATTTGAAGGGACCACACATAATTTCCAAGGGAGTGAGCTTCCTTCAAAAACGCCTTCGTGTTCCTGCCTCAATTGGGGCGACCCCAGGATTTGTGACGCCCCCCCCCCCCCAACTGCAACACTTATTTGCTCTTTTGCCATTAAAATGGCACCTGTCCCCTGAAAGCAAGCCCCCCCTTTTTTTCTTCTCCAGACGCCCCTTGCACCAATCGCGTGGAAGGAGGGCCCGGTTAGGCTCCACCCACCGATGGGCGGGGCAGAGTACTCACCGCGCAGAGAAGGAACCGAGGTGTCTCCTCGTAGCCGGCGAGAAGAAGGCTGGGGAAGAGACTGACGGGGTCACCAGCATTTGGCTCTTCTTACCTCCGGGACGGAGGCCTCTTCGGCCCGAGCCACCGCCGCCGCCTGGAGTGTGAGGCGAGGTGGGAGTGGAAAGAAACATTGCCGCCTCGGTGCGAAAAACCGAGGAGCCGTTATAAAAAAAAATAAAATATCCCAAGCTTCTCAAGTCCCGTTGCTGTCTCTTTTTCTCGTAAAGCAAAACCGGCGCATCTAAATGACGTCGTGTTTCCTCCGAGCACGGGATTGGATGGAGATTTCCCCGCCCCCTTGTCTTGGTCCAATTAACTCAGAAAAGCGGGAAGTTCTTTGTGTATGTGTGTATGTGTGTATGTGTTGTGGGCAGGACAGCAGTGTAATGAATAGGAAAAGTAGCGGGAGGTTAGGAGAGGCGGTATTGGATGGTGCAGCATTTTAAAGCATATTTCAAACTGGGGACTCTGGCAGCAGCTTTCCAGGCGCCGCGCTCTCCTTCGCCATGTACATGTTTTATTTTTATTTATTTTATTTATTTATTTTCGTCAAGCATCTATTAGATAGCAGATATAAGTATAAACATGATTATGAATACATGAAATGGATACGAATAAAAGGGAACATTAGGACAGGGACGGTGGGCACGCTGGTGCGTTTATGCACACCCCTTAGAGACCTCTTAGGAATGGGGTGAGGTCGACAGTAGACAGTCTAAGGTTATAATGGTATAATAATTATGCTTTATTAATTTAATTATGCTTTTATTTAATTAATTTAATTTAATTAATTCAATTTATATGCTGCCCCTCTCTGAAGACTCAGGGCGGCTCACAATACATTTTAAAAAATCATTATTAAAAACATTTTAAAATTAAAAACATTAAAAACTCATGCACACCATTCATGGCCGGATCTCACCAGATCACAAGAGCGAGATCAATGGCCCCAGGCCTGCCGGAAAAGCCAGGTCTTCACCGCTTTTCGGAAGGCCAATAGGGTGGGGATGGTCCGGACCTCAGGAGGTAACTGGTTCCAGAGAGCTGGCAATTCCAGCAATCCCTGGTTAATAGACTTTGCATAATTGCAACTTCTAATTTCCTGACAGCTTTCCCCATGGACTCTGCTTGTGGGAAATTGGCAAGGAAGGTTGCAAATAACAATTGTGTGCTTGTAGGATGCTGCTACAGTTGGAAATTTAGGCTGGTTGCCAAGCACCTGGATCACATTCACATGACTCTGGGAATGTTATGCTGGTGAGAAGGACAACCAGTTGTAACTACTACTTATTCAATGCTGTCACAAGTTCAACAAGTTCAACCAAGAGCCTTGGTAGTACAGTGGTCTAAAGCACCCTGTTATTAAGACCAACTGCCTGCAATTACTGCAGGTTCGAATCTCGCCAGGATCAAGGTTGACTCAGCCTTCCATCCTTTCTAAGGTAGGTAAATTGAGGACCCAGTTGTGGGGGCAATAAGCTGACTTTGTATACAAAAGGATGAAGGCTATTGCTTAGCACATTGTAAGCCGCCCTAAGTCTCCGGAGAAGGGCGGCATATAAATCAAATTAAAAAAAAAAGTGAACAAATGGTAGTTAACAGAACATCTGAAATCTTGCCCATGACCTGGGAACAAGATGAAGGCAGTTATTGGTTTGACTTGTGATTGACTGTGATTGACTCTTGGCAGCTAACAAAGAATACTAGAATGAGAGTCAAACCATTCACATAAAACAACTACATAAATGACAACAAAATTAAAAGAAAATTGTAATAACTTAAAATGTGCAATATATAAAATTAAGGAAACGTCATCTGGAATAGTTCACTTTTTAGTCCTAAAGGACTATGAGGAGGGGTGAGTCTGAGCTCCAAAAAAGGATATTCCAGAATAAAGTTATGGGAATATGATAGGAAAGGATGTTTCCACAATATAAGAGGTGTCTGTGGAGATAAATGGCAAGAACTGCATCATGCTGCAAGCTCTTACCTCTTCAATGTGTTGTGTGTCCACATATAAAGAGGGTAGAGCTTGTGGTTTGATGCTTCCGATTCTGCAGATACCATGTTTGCGCTATGTGTAGATGCACAAACTGATTTGTTAAACCAAAAATTATAGTTTTAAGATGTGTGGGTTGAGATTATGAGTCAAACATTTTAAAAAAAATTCTGGATATCTCTTTTCAACATTTCCAAAATTGTTATAGCCTACAATGGGGGTTTTCATCCATGACACAAATTCCTAATTGTTTAATCATTAAACAATGTAACGTTTAGTTGAAGAGTGCTCTGAAACCTATTGACTGCCTTATTAATTTGGCTAGAAGATAACTGCTCTGTAAATTATTATTTTTTTAATAGACCAAATAACCTCACTACATCAGAAACGAGCACTGTAATGCACACACAGGTTTTTTTGGCTATGTCCACATGCTCCACAGAATTGGGAAATGATAAACAATAACACATTATAACCAAGTGTGTTGTACAAATCCAGCTGGTATGGCTAGTTTGGCTCAGGGTGGAATGTGAGTCTAATAAACTGGGTGAATATTTAATTAAGTTGGAATGTTTTGTGTATGTATCCTAAAACCTCAATTTTCTTGACCATCATTCAACAGTCTTTGGATGCAAAGGGCAAAAACTGAACTTTGGATTTCATTCCCAAACATTGGACAACCCCCATCATTTCTGAAACACTATAATTCATATATATAATTCATATCTATCTCAATTTATGACGTTTGTATAATAATTTGATATAACTTGATGCGTAGCATGATAAAATGTCAATTACATCATTGGAAAATTTGTTTTTAACAGACATCCTTTTATTCCAAATAATCTATTAAATCCAATTTTATAATGTAGAATTTGAATGACATGAAAAGAACACAGATAAACTCTGGTCAGGCCAATTCCGAAAAATTCTGTATCAAGTTTGATGACAATTTTCTTTTTAAACTTCAGAAATTCTTCTTTAAATTTGTGATAAATATGGGTGATTTCACAATGATTTTCTTATTTTTGCAAAATTTTCATAAACCTCTGGTTGGGCTCTACTCCAATAGAAAGGCAGGTTATTGGAAAATTTGAGGGGCAAAATTGATATTCCTAGAAAAATTGAAAGATAGACCAGAGAATAGCTGCCAAGGGAACACTTTCTTAATGCTAAGCCTACAAATGCCACAGCATGCATACATAATTGTGTTTACATGATGATATTGCATGTACTGCACTTTTCATAACAGAGTTTGATATTGTTACCACTGTATACTACCTCTCATTTTAATAACAGAATACTTTCTAAGGTAGTATCAATTTAAGTCAGATAATTTATTGGGAATAAATAATCTCTTACTCATCATATTGTAGACCCACCCAAATTACTTCATTTTTGCACCTCTTTATAGAGAACTAGCTCAGAACTCTTGCAGGCCATAAAGTTAGACAACAAAAGCAAATCTCAATGCAAAATTATTTCCTATCTCACCAAATTTATTATTATTGATCCAATTAGGAAATGTTGCCATCATCATTCTGTTCATATAGCTTTGCTTTAGCATATTATGTGTAAGAGAATAACTGACGTCCTTGGGAATTACTTTTACTTTTTAACAAAGACCATGGAAAAATATTGTACTTTCATCATTTACATTAGCAACTTTGCCACAACTGCCTACAATGAGGCAAATGGGATTAAATGAAAGATAGCATGTTATGCAAGAATGATGCTTTATTTATTTTTCGTTTAAAAAGGAAAAAGTATGCCTGATTATAGTTGAAAAAGTATAAAGAATATCTGAAATTGAGAAAACTTAAGGACAAAAAGGATAAGAATGGAAAAATGTCATACATACCAGTAGTTTCTTAATGCATTTTATTGTTATACAAAATATTACTCACAAGAACTATGGAACAAAGAGTAGAAAAAAATGTTCTTTATATCAAAATTAGATAACCTTGCTTTAGACTGCATTACTAAATACTTCATTATCACACTGTGCATCCCCCAGGAACCAGGAATTAACAATGGTAAAGAATTGGTTCTTTGCAGGACTAAAAAAACTTTTGGTTCTGGCCAGCTGCAAAATACCCTCTATATTAAATGACATTAAGACAATGAGATTTTTTTTTAAAAAAACTACAGAGCAGTAAGCATGTTGCCAATTATAGCCTTCATGGCCACTCGAATGGAACATAAATCATCAGTGCAAATTTTATGTGTCACTAAACTGGAAGGACCAATGATAATGAAGTCTGTTAGTGAAGAAAAAAATCCAGGTGTTTTTCTACAGTATTTGAAGTTAATGTGAAAATAACTGTGAATTTCTTCAAAATAATTGGTTGTTCTGATCAGCACCATAATTTGTGAAAAATGTGAAAAGTTTCATTTATATACCAACATTCCAACATTTTGTTCTAATCAATAGTTTTATATTTATGGGGTCCTCAGTGCTGTCTGAGCTTGGTTGTTGGGGATACCTTTTCGGCATCCAGTAGACATGGGCGTTCTAATTTCTAATCTAATATGAATTCATCCCATGGCGTTATGTGCGTTTAGAGCTTTGTCATTTTCCCCTTCTTTCAGTATGATCCATGACTTTATTTAGAAAATGTAACTACGACATTTTGTTATCAACCCTTGATTAATCAATTTAGAGACAAGTCATAAGACAGTTATATAGAAGTACTGTATAACACCATATGAACCAAATGTAAAGTAGAAGTATGGGAATACATTCCTTGCAGTTAATATTCTTTGAATACTTATCAAGAATCTTATCGTATCTTCCATTTTATACATTTATCAGTTCATTCTAAGTTCAACTCATTGGGTGTTAACTGGAGGTACTTTAAGTAAAACTACGGTGTCACATTGTGGCTTAAACACATGCCACTTCCCATTTTTTTTTACTCATGGTTAGCTGAATACTGTAACTGTTTGAAAGTATAATATTGATGATCCTTTCCCTTCATCTGTGCATACAATGGGAAGCAGTATGGGTTTCTGTATGGGTAAATTAATGTAACACTGATTTTTAGAATTCCACTTCTATATTGCAGAGTTATAGTCAAAATAGCACTATTTATATATCAGTAGACTGGCTAAATACCAACAGACTGACCAGGTTTGTCAGTAATTAAAATTATTTTTTGTTGTTTACCCTTAAAGGGGAGAGTCTTCAAAGAAAACAGGTCTGATAAGTTTTCTGTGCTACAAAATACTGATCATTTAAAAGAAACAATAGATAAAAGGAAAATGGAATAGAGTGGTTTGAAAGACAAAAGGCAAGACATATATCAAGATACTGTCAGCAAAACGTAATTTTCTGGATAAGTTATTTTATACCCAATTGGGAACATAAAGAAATCAAATATTTTAACAGCAGGGATGTGATAGAATTTGCTTTGACTAATATTCTTTGCATTAATGTTGACCAAATCATGACGGTTTTTGTATTTGTGAATTTAGTTTGTCTTCATAATAATGATAAAATTATTAAAATCATGATGATTTAAAAGGAAGACAAAGTATGAAAAGACATTTGGCATGAAAATAAACTAGCTGATAATTCAAAGTAGGCTGCCAAATCATAAAATTAAATTCTGCAAGCACTTGTGATATATCCATTAATCTAGGGATCAGCATGTTGTACTTACTGTACTCCCACTAGATCCTTTACAAAAACTTCGCAAACTTCTTAAGTTTCTTTGTTTTGGGAAGGAGGTAACCAAGTTATACAACGGCACCTGGGTCTAGAAAATATATCTATCCCTGCATTAATCACATAGCAACTGTAGAATCTTAAAAACAATTCACTCTTGGATTGCACCACTATATAATTACTTAAATGCTTTGAATAAAAAGCTCAAGATAATAAATTTCTGCAAATATCTGAAGTACACTTAAAAATATATACAACACATTTATTGAAACATAATTTAAATTCTTGGAAATAGTAGTACTCTTCCCTATTTAGACCTTTTCATTCTTTTTTTTTTAAAAAAAGGTTATTTTTCAATTAGATGCAAAATGTTCAATATTTTGGATGAAAGACTGTTTTTTCATTAATTTGCTGAAAAGTCCATTTGGGTTTGCAAGCAGTGTTTCATGCTTTCCACACTCAACTATTCTGCCTTGGTCCAGAACTGCAACAGAATTAGCATTCTGAATGGTGGAGAGTCGATGAGCAATAATAAGAACAGTTCTGCCTTCCATCAGCCGGTCTAAAGCTTCTTGGACAAGATATTCATTTTCAGCATCCAAAGCACTAATTAATGAATAGAATGAAAAAGGAGGTTATTCTCCACATTACTAATTTTAGTGCAGAGACTTCACTAGACCATAATTGTCTGTACAACTTTTTGCATTTCATTTAAAATTTAAAATTGTTTTTTAAAAAAATATTTAATGGTGTCAGGATTTTTAAACAAAAGCAATTATTTACAATTTTGAGAGATTTGCTTTCAACAAAGAGAGCCCAATATTTCACAGATGTCCCCAAAACTGAGTTAAGACATCCTCATTTTTAATCTGCAATTTAAATACCTCATTATAGTGTAAAGAAATATTATAGAACCATGAAATAGGAATGACTTAGGGAAGCTTGACAGTGTTAGCATACTGTGTTGTACAGGCACTCCTCGTTTTACAACCATTTATTTAGTGACTATTCAAAGTTACAGCAGCACTGAGAAAAATGACTTATGACCATTTTTCACCATTAGAGTATCCCAATGGTCAAAATCTGGATCCTTGCCTTGTATTAATGACAGCTGCAGTGCGAGCAATCAACCAATGGAACAGCTTGCCTTCAGAAGTTGTGGGAGCTTCATCACTGGAAGCTTTCAAGAAGAGAATGGACTGCTATCTGTCAGAAATGGTGTAGGGTCTCTTGCTTGGGTGGGAGGTTGGACTAGATGACCTACAAGGACCCTTCCAACTCTGTTAATCTGTTAAATATGTTCTAGGATAATGTGTTTACGTTTTGTGACTTCTGACAAAGTCAATTGGGAAGCTAGATTCACTTAACAACTATGTTACTAATTTAATAACTGCAGTGAATCACTTAACAGAGGTAGCAAGAAAGGTCATAAAATGGGGCAAAATGTACAACTGTCTTGCTTAGCAACGGAAATTTTGGACTTAATTGTGGTTGTAAGTCAAGGACTACCTGTAGTACATATGCAGTCTTCCAGAAAGCAGGGAAGTTTGCATACTTGTACAAATCCAGCCATAAAGTCTGTTTAATTTACATCTATCCTGAGAATTGTATCTTTTGGGTTGGATCAGATGAAGTAGTTCACCAGCCTGGCCTGCATGTATCCAAATATATTAGAGCACACTCTTACAAACCCTTCTATTGAATTGGCTAGAAGCATTATATGTATGCACAACTTCAAATTCATAAAAGACATCTGGAACAGTGTGTTATGTGTCCTTGCCTGAGCACATATGGAATTCTGGCAGGATGTTCTGACATGGAAGAAAATAGCTGCTCTGGGACAGATTCTGATCAATAAAGTATTTGCCCCAGAAGACCTGGCTAGTCACAAAACACCATTTATTGCACAACAAACTTATGAAGTTGTTCACATTTCCTCTGGTATCTAGGATGCTACTCCTCCTGTTTAAAAGAAGAGCAGTATCTGAACAATGGGAGAAAAAAATGGAAGCTACAAAAGAACATTCCACACTGAGGAAACATATGTGCAATGTTTTGTCATGAAATCAATAGTAAAGATACCAGAAAGTCTCATGGGATTGAATATTAATTTAGTAAGAAACAATTTCAATATTGTCCAAGCTACCCATAATTTTCCTAATTTTTATTATTTACCTTGTTGCTTCGTCAAGGAGAAGAATTTTGGGATTCTAAAAATAGAACAAGTACAAAAATGTTGAGATTAGAAGTTTTTGCAAAAAAAAAAAAAAATAATTAAAGGGACGCCAGTTTTATTAGAGATTTTAATAGTCATCAAGAGATGTTTTATCTAAAGCAATACTAATAAATTACTGAAATATTTTATTACAAAATACAAGAGGGAGAGGGAGGAAGAAAGAGAAAGAAAGAAAGAAAATTAAGCTAGAAAAGACATGTCTTTTCAAAGCCTTTTTCTTTCAGGTAAAAACTTGGTTAAACTTTAGTAACTATAAGACACTGAAAAGACTGCATTTTAAAAATAACCTGCAAACTCTACTACTATTATATAGCCAACCACTTTAAAATCCTTTAAAATCCTGATCAAAATTATTGTTTTCTTAAGGTTAATGAGTGATGGTTTTCATACCTGGCTGTTTTAGGAAAAAAAAATAGAATAAGGTTCAATAATTACAAGATGTTTTACTACTGTTCAGAAAAGGCACGTAACAGCAGACTATTAAAATACACCGGTGCAAAATAAACAGTATATTGAAAGAATTATTTATTTATTTATTTAATTATATTTCTATACCGCCCTTCTCCTGCGGGACTCAGGGCGGTGCACAGCCGAGATAAAACATAACATATAAAATTTAAAAAACAGTTTAAAAACAATTAAATAATTTCGGCCCAGTAATTAAAATAGAATAATGTATAATGTATAATGTAATGAATAATGTATGAGAACTACCTAGAAATGCAATGAAAGCATGAGAGTCCCTATTTCTCTTAATTCAAATCATCTTTGTCACATATTTTCCTTGCTCCTTTTCTCTCTTTAAAGGCACAGAAGAAAAAAGGCTTACCTTCAGAAGAGCTCGAGCAATTGCAATTCGCTGCTTCTGCCCACCTTTGCATAAAAAACATAACATAAATATTCCATGCATTTTATGTACTTTTTTTTAAAGAACTCTGGCAATCAAAACAAATGACATGTACCAGTACATGAGTTTTTTTTATTTTCTGTGGAAAATCTGACTTAAATGGAGAAAATGATTACGGCACTGCAGTTTGACAACAAGATTATTTTAAGCATTTTAATAAAGTTCAAGAGTGAAATCAGTACAATCAAGCCTGTGCAGTTCTAAGAAAAGGTGTCTAGACCAGTGTTTCTCAACCTCAGCAGCTTTAAGATGTGTAGACTCCCAGAATGCTGGCTAGGGGATTTTGGGGAGCTGAAGTCCACACACTGTAAAGTTGCTGAGTTTGAGAAACACTGCTCTAGATGCTGACAGAATAGTATTTGTCAGTAGAATAGAATTCTTCCTTTCTTCTTCGCCATCTCCCATAACTACACTGACCACATTTTCTTGGGGAAAAAAAGTAAAACAAACCTGAAATAGGGGCATATCTGAAAAAGGTTGATAAGGATATTTTTTTTTATGTTTATGACAAAGGGAAACTTTGCCAGAATGCCTTTTGTAATAAAAATATCTAAAATCAAACAGTATCTTATTTTAAAAAGACAATTCAATTTCTACATTTTTCAACTAACTGTGAAAAACTGCAATTTGCACAGTAAAAATTAAATGAGCAAAATAAAGGACAATGTTTTTGAAAAATAAATAAATCTAAAGGACAATTTTCTGAAATGCAGATAATCCTCAACTTCTGACACAAGTGAGCCCAAACTTTCTGTTGCTGAGTTTTGCCCCAGTTTAGGACCTTTCTTGCAACAGTTGTTAAGTGAATCACTGCAGTTGTTAAGTTAGTAATACAGTTGTTTAGTGAATCTGTCTTCCCTATTGACTTTGCTTGTCAGAAGGTCCCGGTGACTCTGGGACACTTTAACCGTCATAAATATAAGTCAGTTGCCAAGTGTCTGAATTTTGATCATATGACCATGGAGATGCTGCAATGGTCATAAGTGTGAAAAACAGTCATAAGTCACTTTTTTCCATGCCATTGTAACTTTGTACAGTCACTAAATGAACTGTTTTAAATCGAGGACTACCTGTAAAGAACTGTCCTTTATAATAAAGGACGTATGGTCTCTGCACCCCTATCCCTGGAATCTCTTGGGAAGGTCAGAAGGTGTTTTAGAACAGATTTGTCTTATAGCAAAATGAAATGCACAGCAGAATGAGACAGGGAAAGATAATTCCTTTTATAACAGCTGTAAATTACAAAAATTGATTTTTAAATGACATAGTCTTACCAGAGAGAAGAACACCTTTTTCCCCAACTAAAGTGTGGAATCCTTTTGGAAAATTTTGGATAAAATTAGAAGCGTTTGCAATTTTGGCAACTCTCTCGATTTCTGCAGGAGTTACTGTGGATGGATCCTCTGCGCCGTAGGCTATGTTTTCAGCAATAGAGCATGAGAACAGAGTGGGTTCCTAGTGTATGAAAAAGCATAAGGAATATGGCAACACAGGTACACAAATGCCCAGATGAGATCATAAATGAAATAAGTAACACGTGACCATAGAGATTAAAGGGAATACTTTTTTCCCCTCATAAGCAGTGATGAGTACAAATACGATTGCTTTAAAGGGGCATGAGGCAAACTGAAAAGCTGGAGGGGCAAAAAAACGTTCTCTGACATTTTAAAAGAAATTAGGATCAGCAAATACTGTAAGAAAACTTTGCTCCTTTTTTACCTGATTTACTGTTCCGATATTAGTCCTGAACCATAGTGGGTTTAGCTGACGAATGTCAACCCCATCAACAGTAATATTTCCTTCAATAAATTAAGAGTATGTTGTTAGATAATACGTTAGACAACAATGAGGGTAAAGAGATTAAAAGTATACAGAAGTTCATAATGACACCCTATCAAATTAGAAATATTTTTTTAGAAAAATATTCTCGGCATGAACTGATTTCACCTTGTATAAAATAAGTGATTTCTAGAGATATCTCTCTTTCTAAGAAATTATGATTCCAGGACATTCATGTCAAATCCTATCAAGAAAAGCATAGGGACAGGCAGTTTATATATACATTGCCCGAAATATTGCCTTAACTGTAAAAAAATACAAGTTGAGTGAAACATGAATATGAATTTGTTGTATATATTGCTCCTATTTCAGTAACGGAAAGGCTCAAGTTATGAAATGGCAATGATGCATTTTATCTCAACTTCCTTGTAAATAGTCTTCCAACTGATTCTATAAAGGTCATACTTCTCCATGAGCAAATTGTGTTTTGATCTCTAATCAGAAGTATACCCAGTAACAGATGTTCAAACATATTCACAGAAACACGTAACTACCTGAGAGTGGATCATAAAGCCTCAGGAGAAGAGATACAACCGTCGATTTGCCAGATCCACTTGGGCCTACTAGGGCCATGACAGAACCTGCAGGCATGCTGAGAGAAAAGTCTTCAAAAATCAATGTTTCTGGACGTGTTGGATATGCAAACTTGACACTTTTGAACTCAAGAGCACCTCTGAAAGCATCCTGGCTTAATACTGTTCCCTCTAAATAGACATGAAAATCCAAAAATGAAAGTAACATCAATAATATATCATTCAAACACATTTTAGTAAAGACAAATCCAATTATTTGCAATGAAAAATTACTAAAAGAAAACAAATATGGTTAATAGGATACTTTACTAAGATTCTGTAAACTAGAGTCACTTGAATCTGGGCATTCTGAAAGATGAGTCATCAAATAATTTGGACTTGTCTGCTTACAGAACAAGGTCTGCTGTTGGTACATTCAGGAAATGAAACAACTCCTCCTCTAGTGCCTCATAGCCTAACGTTTCTAAGACCTGCTGGTTATGGTTGAGTTGGGCCCAAAGGTATTCTTACTTCACCCCAGAATTGATAATATACAGGTAGTCCTTGATTCACAACCACAGTTTGAGCCCAAAATTTCTGTTGCTAAACGAGACAGTTAAGTGAGGGGCTTTTTATCCTCACTTACCATCTTTCTTGCCACAGTTTGTTGAGTGAATCGCTGCTGTTGTTAAGTTAGTAGCACCACTGTTAAGTGAATTTGACTTCCCCATTGACTTTGCTTGTCAGATGATCACAAAATGTGATCACATGACCCTGGGACACTGCAACCGTCATAAATATGACTCGGTTGCCAAGCGTCTGAATTTCGATTTTGTGACGATGGAGATGCTACAACAGTGTTAAGTGTGAAAAACAGTCATAAATCACTTCAGTGATTTCGAACGGTCACTAAATAAACTGTTGAAAGTTGAGGACTAACTGTAATTAGGTCACGTTTCCAGTAACAGCAACAAAGAACAGAGAATACGAAATGAATGAATTATGATTTTATGAAAGAAGGTAGAATGTCACAGTGTATGTCACAGGTAGAACACAAATCACTCATATTCCTGGCAAGGGATTATCAAGTCTTAAATCATTTGTTTATGTATGTATGATGTTACTGATCAGAGTGCTAACTCCACTTCAATTTCATTTCAAACTGTCATAGGTGTGGTACCTTTATAGTGTTTTACTGCATTCTATAAGGCACAGGCAGATAAGTTATTGGAGGGTGGAGTGGGAATACACAGACACACACACTGTATGTATAGGTATATATGTATGTGTACACATTATATATATATTCCCACCCCACTGTCCAATAACTATAGTAATATAAGCCATAGAGAGGCTGCAGTCCATAGCCAGTAACATAATGACATTGTTGTTATTTTCATTTTGTCAGGAGGATTTTCAAGGGGAGAAATGCACTAACCATAAGGCATCCATTTTGAACACCATGAGATGTGAAAAGTAGTTTAGGGAAGTTTCAAAATTTTAACTGTTTAAAAGGATGCACACAAAACCTGCACCATAACCAATTTATGCATTGTATTTTGTGGCATCAAATGAATAAATCTATTCTTTGGGATCATTTATGACATTAAATGTGTAATTAGCTTACATTCTCTACTAGAATAATTTCTAATTTATGAAAATGTGTGATATTGCATGATGTATGGATATTTTACCATCTTAAACAACTGCAAAATATTAAGAACATTACCATTAAAAGGAAGTTGTGGCTTTCGATCAATAAGTTCCCACAGGCGCCCTCCTGCACCCAAACCTTTCATTAAATCAGTATAAAAAGCGCTTAATCCTAGGAAAGAAAGAAAAAATACCCCTATTGTTATACATGTTCAAAAACAGGTATTGCATGTTTGTTAAACAAGTTCTGCCAATCAGTGTACAAACAGCTAGAATGAAATAGCCAGCTAGTACAGCTAAATAAAGCATAGCCTAAGATTAGGTTGTTTAAGGCAGGAATAGAAATTGGACAGGGGCTTTACCTTTCTTCCTTCATTTTTACCCCTAGCAGCAGAGAAAATAAGCATATAGCCTAGAATTATTTATTTGCTTCCCTTCCCTTTCTTTTTAGTAAAGAATATCCATAAAATGGCTGGCAGAACTTCTCTGAGTAGGTTATATTTCACATTCATCAGAGTTGGAATTTGTTAATTATTCAAAAGGTTAGGTCAGTGTTTCTCAATTGTGGCAACTTTAAGATTCCCCAGCATCTAGCTGGGGAATTCTGGGAGCTGAAGTCCACACATCTTAAAGTTGCCAAGGGTGAGAAGCACTGGGCTGGATGAATGCTCTTGCTGACCCCTGACCCCTCTAGCACCTGAAGGATTGTTTAGTCAGTTTGGTGCAACAAGAGCTGTTCTGTAAGGAGAGGTTAACACTGGTCAGACCAGCTAGCAATTTTGGGAAATGCACTCCATACATCTGCAGAACGGCAAAATGGAGATGGCTGATCTTTTGCCTTCTGATCTGATATTTTGTCTATTTGTTTTAAAATTTTACTTTTTAAGAATATATTACCTCTAATGCTTATGCCAACCCAGAAAGCGTACATTAAGAAAGAAGACAGTTCACCAACAGTCAAATGGGCACCACCCATCAGTAATCCTCCTTTGTAGAGAACAAAAAGCACAATCAAATTGCCTGATAACCCCGTCTGTAAAGAAAGGAAAGGGAAAAGTACTGATTGCAGGATTTTAATGTAATTCTTTAGATTGATGGATGAATATGACAAGAGAGGGAAGAACAGGCACCCTTCACCCACTTTGGCCTAAAATAAAATCAAGATTTCTATCATAATAGTAGTCTTAGTATTTAGAATTCCATAATTAAAAATGCCAATCCTTTAATACAGATTATTTTAGAGATTTTTGGGCATTTTTATATGACTACCCTGTTTTTCCCCAAAATAAGACATCCCCTGATAATAAGCCCAATCGGGCTTTTGAGCACATGGCAATAAGGCCAAGTGCAGGGGTGAAATGCTCCCGGTTCGGACCGGATCGCCCGATCCGGTAGCGATGGAGGTGGGTGTTTCGGAGAACCGGTAGCAAAAATCCCTACCTCCCCCCCCCAATATGCCCAGCTGAGCAGCACAATCATCAGAGGCTTTTTTTTTAACTTTTAAAAGCATTTTTTCTACAACTTCTTCGGCCGAAAAAATGCTTTTAAAAGTAAAAAAAAAAGCCTCTGATGATCGCGCGGCTCAGCTGGGATCATCAAAGGCTTTTAAAAGAAAAAAAACCCTTTTTTTCTTTTAAATGCCTCTGACGATCCAAGCTGAGCTGCCTGATGGTCAGAGGCATTTAAAAGAAAAAAAGTCTCTGCTGATCAGGCAACTCAACTGGGATCGTCAGAGCCTTTTGAAAGCATTTTTTTACAACCTCTTCACCAAAGAAGGTTGTAGAAAAAATGTAAAAGTAAAAAAAAATAATGGCCACGCCCACCGTCACATTAACTCCCCCACCAAGCCACGCCCACAGAACCGGTAGTAACAAATTTTAGATTTCACCACTGGCCAAGTGCTTATTTCAGGGTTCAAAAAAAAAATATAAGACAGGGTCTTATTTTCGGAGAAACACGGTTGCATTTTCAATATCTGATCCAGAATCCAGTTCCAAATGTACCTGGGAATGCTTTGTCTATTTTTAATTCTACTCGGATTTTGAAGTTTACCATCACAGGTCTATTTACATAGTAGTAAGCTTACAGAACTCTAAAGCATCAGGCAATCAGTGTTTTTAACTTTCTGGCCAATTGTTGATCCCAGAGAATATCAGCCAATTAATGATCACTTGCTGGCTAATACTGTAATGCAGTGCTTCATCCCACACCCCTCAGATTCATAACTAAACAAATGCAGTATCTCATTTGTCTTTTCAAAGTAAAACAGGACGAACTACTTGTGTGTGCCCGTGCTTCTGTGCTCACTTGGGTGGTAAATTTCATTGCCTTTCAAACTTAATGAAGTGTTCAAAGGCAATAAGAACACTGAATGTGAGGAAATACCATTTCTTAGTAATCCTAGAAATAGGTCTTGGGGAAAAAGGAACAAAGTAGAAAAAAACAGTGCTGTAGTTCAAGTAGAATGACTGCAGGAAGGACAAGCACAAATGAAAACGCTATGTGAAAAAGAATCTGAATATAACTTAGTCCCCCAGTAGAACAAATGGAATGTGCATATAAGGAGGATTGTAGAAGTTGTTTAGAACAATGTGAAAATAATTTAAAAATACAGTAAAAATATGTGGAGTTATATTCATGTGGCATATGAAAAAGGAGGCTTATCACAATGATAAGGGAAAGAAACTGGATGAGAGAGAAAAATTCAAATAAAAGAATTCCTGCAAAAATTGATGAAACACATTGTGTAATGTATATATAGAGAAAAAAAGATAGTTGCAAAGAGAGCAAGGAATAACATTAAATAAGGCAAAGAAAATGTGGAGCAATTTTAATGGAAATAGAACTTTGTTTCAGAAGTGGATGAAGAAAGCTAAACAAAAAATCTCTACCAGAGTGAATGGTAGATAAAATGATCTAGGACCTTACTGAAATGAGGAAATGCTGGAATGAACCAGCATTTGAGAGATCTCTTATGAGAATGACAATGGTATAATGAGTGGAACTGAAACTTCCAGTATTTTAAGTATTATTATCCAAGAAAAAAATGATGAAAAAATGCAACAAGAAAGTTGAAAAATGATAAAATTGCAGAAGTATACAGTCTAATGGAAGAAATGTTAAAATATATGGTTTGCTCATAGAATGGCTGTGCAACATTTTAATTTGTCTGTGAAGATTACAGCAGTACCCTATGTTTTGAAAAATGTTCCTTTATACAAAGGGAAAAATCCACAAGGGCATTAGTTTGGTGGGAAAGTGGCAGTTTTCTGACTCAAACATGTTAACAGATGACAATGACAATTTGGGGAAGTACAGTGAGGCTTTATGCAAGGCAAGGGGTATACAGATGAGAGACTTTTTTCTGCTTTCCAGGCCACATAAAAAATAATATTTATTTTGAAGGCAACATATGCAAGGCCGAGCTGAGGACTTTGTGCAGTATCTGTATGACAAAATCGCTCAGATTCGGGAAGGGCTGGCCTCTGACTGGGTATGTCCGGACGGGATGACTGAGGCAGGTCTTGAGAGTGTTATCTGGGGGGAGTTCGATCCTGTGGCTCCCGAGGACATGGACAGGGTCCTGGGACGGCTGAACGCGACCACATGTTTATTGGACCCGTGTCCCTCCTGGTTGGTACTGGCTTCCCGGGAGGTGACACGAGGCTGGCTCCAGAAGATTGCTAACGCTTCTTTGAGTGAGGGGGTCCTGCCGGCCGCTCTGAAAGAAGCGGTTGTGAGGCCCCTCCTCAAGAAGCCCTCTCTGGATCCGGCTGTTTTGGCTAACTATCGTCCAGTCTCCAACCTTCGCTTCGTTGCGAAGGTTGTTGAGAGTGTGGTAGCGCAACAGCTTCCCCGGTACCTGGATGAAACTGTCTATCTAGACCCGCTCCAGTCCGGCTTCCGGCCTGGGCACAGCACGGAAACGGCATTGGTCGCGTTGGTGGATGATCTCTGGAGGGCTCGGGATAGGGGTTGCTCCTCTATCCTGGTCCTGTTAGAACCTCTCAGCGGCTTTTGATACCATCGACCATAGTATCATGTTGCACCGGTTGGCGGGGTTGGGGGTGGGGGGCACTGTTCTGCGGTGGTTCTCCTCCTACCTCTCTGACCGGTCGCAATCTGTGTTGACGGGGGGCAGTGGTCGACCCCGAGGCACCTTGCTTGTGGGGTGCCACAAGGGTCGGTCCTCTCGCCCCTTCTGTTCAACATTTATGTAAAGCCGCTGGGTGAGATCATCCGTGGCTTCGGGGTGGAGTTCCATCAGTACGCTGATGACACCCAGCTGTACATCTCCACCCCAGGCCACCCCAACGATGCCCTTGAAGTGATGTCCCAGTGCCTGGAGGCCGTGCGGGCCTGGATGGGGAGAAACAGGCTCCGACTCAACCCCTCCAAGACCGAGTGGCTGTGGCTTCCAGCGTCCCGATATAGCCAGCTGACGCCATCGCTGGCTATTGGGGGCGAATCACTCGCCCCCACGGAGAGGGCTCGCAACTTGGGCGTCCTCCTGGACGCACGGCTGTCTCTAGAAGACCATTTGACGGCCGTGGCCAGGGGGGCTTTTTATCAGGTTCGCCTGATACGCCAGTTGCGCCCCTTTCTAGATCGGGACTCTCTACGCACAGTCACTCAGGCACTAGTCACTTCCCGCCTGGACTACTGCAACGCTCTCTACATGGGGCTCCCCCTGGGGTGCACCCGGAGGCTCCAGCTGGTCGAGAACGCGGCCGCGCGGGGGATTATGGGGGCGACGAGGCGCTCCCATGTGATACCTCTCCTGCGCGAGCTGCACTGGCTCCCGGTGGTCTTCCGGGTGCGCTTCAAGGTGTTGGTGACCACCTTTAAAGCGCTCCATGGCTTAGGGCCGGGGTACTTACGAGACCGCCTACTGCCACCAATAGCCTCCCACCGGCCAGTACGCTCGCACAGAGTGGGCCTCCTCAGGGTGCCGTCCGCCAGACAATGTCGGCGGGCGACCCCCAGGGGGAGAGCCTTCTCTGTGACGGCGCCCACCCTCTGGAATAACCTTCCCCCAGAGTTACGTATAATAACAGACCTCCGGATTTTTCGTCGGGCCCTGAAAACCTATTTATTTCAACTAGCTGGGCTGGCTTGAGCTAAATTTTAAATTGATTTTAAATTGGGTTGTTTTAATTTACGGCCAGAATATTTAATTATTTTAATACTGTTTTTTAAATTTTGTATGCTTTGTTTTTACTTAGGCTGTGCACCGCCCTGAGTCCTATTTGGAGAAGGGCGGTATAGAAATTTAAACAAATAAATAAATAAATAAATAAGTGGTATACAGATGTGGTAGAAGGTAGAAGATGTTTTGCAAAAGTAGAAAGTTATGGACAGGTACAGTGAAAAATTTTGATATAAATTAATTTCAGTTCCATTTACTTTTCTGCTTAATTTTTTTCTTAACATTTGGTTTTTTTTTGGCCTTAGCATTTCTTGCTTTTTTCCTGTTCTCTGCATAACTCTATGAGGGAGATGGGCAGTTCAAAAATGTGATAAATAAAACAATAAAATAAATAACGTTATCTAAAAATGGAGTGAAAATATATTTATAAACCATGATTTATAAATAATTTCTGTAAACCTATTTAGTACATTAGTTTATTGATGGTCATGATAAAAGAATATGCAACTACATCTATATCAAAATAATAATTTAATTGTTCAAGGAAACATTTATCAGAAATACACAGATGATTCCTCACCTTCTTCATATACTTACTGCTCCAAAGAATCCTGCTCGAGCTATTGCTTCCTTTTTGGCCAATTGTAGCACATACTGAATCTTGTTGTCATATTTTTCCATTTCAGTTAACTCATGTCCAAAAGCTCGAACTGTTCTTAAATTTCCAATCCTTTCTTCTGCTAACTGTAGTAAACAAAATGTAAGAATTAACACATTTCCCATAAGCCTACCTAGATTGTTCTCACTATATGTTGCTATTAAACTAACAGTGGGTCTTTTCCACTATACTATTTACATAGCCTAGATGCATTTATCACCCTGTAATACAACATATAAGGCCAGGGAAGAATGAATTACCCTATATCAAGGCTGTCAATTTTTTTATGTCCATTCACAAACCTATATTAAAACTACTTCCATAATGAGCTATTTCTTTTTAATCAGCCAAAATTAAAAGATACTTTTAAATTATTTTATCTAAGAGTATACATTTCTAAATACATTTGGCAGCATATTATAAGAAAGAGAAAGGCAAAATCCTTCTAAAAGGATAGCCTAATTTGAATTATTGTGTAATTAGAACAGATCAATTCACACTGAACTTCCCAAAGAACAATCCCCAAAGAACAAATCCTTCAAGCATCTTGAGCTATATAAGAGTTTTGAGATGTGATTGTACGAAAAAGAATACTTCAAATTGGGGAATTACAAGGATGGCTATGTGGAAATGACTTCAATCAGATTCCTAGTGGGAACTTGTGGGGGATGTGAATGAAAAGAGAAAAGACCAGAGCAGTTCAGCACTATTTTTCAACATTCTCATTTGAACAACTGAGAAACTACCTGTGTAGCTTCTGCAAGGGAATCCTGTGTCATTCTAGCCAGTTTTCGTAAATATGTTCCATAAAGCACACCTATGACAGCCAGGGATGGTACGACAGTCAGGACGAATGTAGCAAGTTTGGGAGACACAAAAAACTAGAAGCAAAAAAGCAGTGATTAATTTTTAAACAGTTTACAGAGGCTTTGCTAGATCGATAAATCAAATGTTTCAACTAGTCCTCTGTTAACAATGGCAATTGGACCAGGATTTTGGTTGCTTCTGAATGCTGTCGGTAAGCAAACCTGCATCATTGTTAAGTGAGGATGTCACATGGTCACCTTTTGTGACCTCCTGCCAGCTTCCCCATGGACTTTACCTATAGGAAGCTGGCAAAGAAGGTTGCAAATGGTGACCCTATGACAATGAAATGCTGTAATTGTGGTCCCGGGACCAAATGCCCAGATTGTGATCACATGACTAAGGGGGTGCTGCAATGACTGAGGATCAGTTTTAAATATCACTCATTTAGCATTGTCACAACCGTATAGTTCACTTACTGACCACATGATTTGCTTAACGACCACAATGAATTGCTTTACAACTGTCATAAAAAATGGTTGTAAAATCAAATCAGGTGACCTGCTTAATAACCACAATTTACAAATTCCATCCTCAGTTGTGATTATTGAGTAAATTATTATCTGTATGTAAAACTGTCTGTTTCCTTTCAATTTTTTTTGCATTTAAAAAAAAATTCTCATGTACTAGTTACTGAATTCAATACTGTAGTTGTGCTCAATAATTGCTGAATTATTTATTTGATGTTCTGCCATAACCATTATGAGCAATAAAAACTATTACATAGGACACAGCTATCAACGTTCCAGTCACTTTTATAATACAATCTTATCCATGCTACAGGATCCAACTGCATTATGACTCAAAGTAGAAGGAAGAGAGACTAACATGATACAATGATTAGAGTTTTTTTAGCTTTTCTGTTTTATATCTTGCGACCTGTCCACCATTGTTCATATAAAGCAGAGCACTTGGGAGTCTTTTTACTGCTAAATATAAAAAGCACATTTAGAGAGCGCAGGTTTAGTCTAGTAGTTAAGGTACTAGGCTAGAAACTGTGAATTCTAGTCCTGCCTTAAGCATGAAAGCCAGCTGGCTTTGGGTCAGTCACTCTATCTCTCTCAGCAAACAACACCAAACCTGGACAACGAGCTAATCAATCAATTCCTGTTGCAACTAATGGAGCAACACTTGGTTGATCTGAAAAATCAGGATATTGACTTCAAGGATACTTGGAGTCAAAAGACTCTAGATATTCATATGTAATGTAACATTTTTGTCTATTACAGAGCTATTGATGGAAGGCTGCAATTGTATGATTTTTTTTTATTATGGAAACTATTAATCTGTGGTATAAATTGAATGCTGTAACTTCTGTCCATTGAGTTACCTTTTCTTTCCTAACATATAATTAAATATAGTAGTATTATTTGCACTACATAACAACCTAGTGCATACCTAGTTCAAGGTATGCACTTAAACCACATTGTCTTTGGTTGAGCAATGTCATTGTAGCTGGTAAATCATGATTAATGGCAAAGTGATATTTAGTTATGGTATTTATGTCTTTTTTTCTGTGGATTATAGTATGAATAAGACATGCATTCCCTAATTCCCTAGCAATATCATTGCAAGGTAAGATGCGACTGAAAAAAGAAAGACTGATTTATAGTCATCCAGTGAGTTCGAACCAGGGTCTTCCCTAGTCCAACTCCAACTTTTTAATCACCACACTAGTTGATTAGATATTTTTCATAAAGCTTTGCTAAAATAGCTCCTCAATGTAATGTGCAAACCTAGTTATTTAATTTCTCATCTATTTTAATACAGTAAATCTATGAAGATGGATGGTGGGAGTGGGGAAACAGTGTTATACCAAAGGATCTGCAAAAATGGAAGGAGAACAATGCAAACACATTCATACCATCATCCCAATAGCAGCTGAAGCCTGTCCTGCAGCTCTTAACCCATCCGAAAGGTTTTCAGTGACTGAACGGCCCAAGAGAGCTGTGTCTGAAGACAAGCGATTAATCAGCTCCCCAGTGCTGGTTTTGTCAAAAAAAGCTACTTCTTGCTTCAAGAGAGAAGAAAATATTGTTGCTCTTAAACGGTTCACAATTCTTTGCCCTAAAACAGTCAAGAGGTATGGCAATTTATAGACAGGATTTTAATAGTTAAAAAAAACTTAGCATTATGAGCATTCACCAAAGTTATTTGTGATAATCCAAGCTCTCTACCATTTACATTCTGATGTCCTTCACCTGTCTCATCTATATTTACCTGTCCCAATTGTGGGTGATACTACGTGAGCATCTTTTACCAACCGCCTAAGCAGGATTTCACAGTGGATGTGCTCCAACTGTTTGAAACCAAATATAGATACGATTATTGCATTCTACCTTGATCATCTTATCACTTCCCTTCCTATTGCTTACTTTGAATTTCAAGACTACTTGTTGCAGATCTCTCCAGCCGCGAGGAACCTAGGAATCACAATTTAATGAACTTTCATATGGGCAGAGCTGATTATTTCAAAGATCTGCTGATGGATCACATCCATTTGTGTTTGACCAATTCTTCAGCTAGGGCCATTTGACTCTACTATTACTAGAATAGCCATATCATGGTGAAGATATTTTCTTCATCAGTTCCAGTTCTGTAGAATAGCCTCTCACCAGGCTTATGTTTGGAATCATATCACTCACAATTTAAAAAGCAACAAAAATGCTTCTTTTTCATGGCCCCCTATGAAACAGATTTAAAATAAATGAATTCTTACCTATTAACTGTATTGAGATGGTTATTATATGCTATGTACTTTTAGTATAAAAGCTTCTTATTTTACATTATGATATGTTTAAGTGTAATATATTATGTTCCAACTGTAATTTTATTCTATGTCCATACTATGGTCACTTATAATCTCATAATCAATAAAACAATAGTTACTATTATACTGTAACTAGATCCTATTTATCAGCACTGAGAAAGAAATGTATTGTTGGGTCCTTGGTGCTATCTGAGCTTGGTAGTTTTTTTGCAGACATTTCATTACCAAACTAGGTAACATCATCAGTGCTAGATGCTACCTAGTTTGGTAATGAAATGTCTGCAAGAAAACAACCAAGCTCAGAAAGCACCAAGGATTCCTCAGTTCAATCCCGAGCTACAACTATTCTATTGATAAAAAATGTGTTGAACAGAAAGGCAGAAAGGGAGAGAGGTATATGCATATATGAAATACTGGATCAAAAAGAAATATTGATTACAAACACAAAAGAAATAAGATGTTTTGTGCATCTTGGTAGTTAATTTATAGGACATGATTTTGTGGCAGAAAAGGGCATTTCAGCCCAATTTGTTCATTTTTTTTGCTTGTTTCATCGAAATTATGCGGTAATTTTTTTGTTTGTTTGTTTCAATGGCACAATTTCTATAATTGGAAAAAAATTCTAGGTCACATGTGGATTGCAGGTTACAAATGGCTCACCCTTGATCTGATAAAGGAGCAGCCTCACCATCCACTGGCAAGAAGCTCTTGCTATATCTTGCTGTATCTTATTTACCAATGGCTTATATAGCTGACAAAATGATATAATTTTACACGCAATTACCTGAAATCTGCATGAGGTAGACACGTATTCCATTGGCAGCGGCACCAAGTATAAATATTCCAGTTAATAAGGCACAGAGCGTGGATAGATTCTCTGCAAGTTCACCAGCTTGATTTGTGTAAACAACATCAATAACTTTCCCCAAGAAAAAGGGGGCAGACATAGTGATGACACTGGAAATAGCCAAAAATCCAACAGCAGCTGGATAGGAGGGAGGGGAACAAACATATTATCTTTTTAGTAATTATTCCAAGTTTTACATTAAAATTTCATAAAATCCTTAAGCTCTTTATAGAAACAATTCAAAGAAATATTTTGAATGTTTACATTATTCTAGTGTATTAACCTGAAAACTGTGAATGTAAGCCTTATTAGCTTTTTGAATTAAACACAAGGTATTTTACAATCTCCTGCTTGTCAATTTAGCATAATCGCAGGTGTGGCTGTGTGAAGGACTGCATCTTAAAAATTAATAAATATGGCATAATATTACCAAAATCCAATGCATCAGATACATAGAACAAACTCCACTTTAGTGATCTAATTCACATAAACCTAGTTTACACAATAATTCACAATGGCTGGCTTTATATTGATGAAAGTCATAAACTACAATTTACAAAGCTTAATGACTCAGCTGACATTATGGTAAGTAAAAATCAAACAAGCCACACTATACCTTACCATTATTTGTACCCTAGGTCACTATTTTAAGGAACCTGGCGTAACAACTTGAAAGAACATTAAACTAAACCCACTTTTGTAAAACCTCCAGTATCACCTGTAAATTATATAAGGGATCATTTTACAATCCCATATATGTAAACTACATTATTATTGCTACTTACATTCTATTTAAATTTATTTAAATTTATTTACATTTAAATAAATTTAAATTGTTCACATTAAACTTTGATTATGTTCAATTTACCTTGCTGCAGTACTATTGCGAAAATGAAACACTCCATGAGCTAAATCCCTATTCATTCTTTTTTATGCAAGATCTTAACTCTTGAACTAAATATGGATTCAAGTTTCATTGCATTCTTAATGCAGCAATTGACTTGAACAGTTTCATCACAAGCTCAAATGAAAAACTGTTTTACAGTGGGTGCAGCTGTGGGTATTATGTAATTTGATTTTGCAATATGGCATAGTATCAAGCAGTATCTTTAGTAATACACCTAAGAAAACTAAACATAATTATTGCAATGACTGATGTACAGGCATTATATCAAATCAGCAGGAGATTTAGACGAAAGTCCCCCAAAATACAAGGCAAGACTGGCAATTTGGACAACCAATAGCTTGTGATAATGGCACTGATTTGTGCCAACATAGGGTACAAGTTAACAGTGGGGAAATGGTTTGAGCTTTAGTTTACTTCAAAACTCCAATTCTGGATTTGCAAAAATGGGAATAAAAATCTAGCCAGCCCCATTTTTTCTGGTGCACCATGTGAATTACCCAGAGTGAGGTGGAGAAGTAGCAATTCATATGGATATCACTTATTGTTATTACTTTAGGATTTATTAAATTATTTATTGTAGTATTGTATTTATTAAATTATTTTCATATAAATATTTGGGGGTCAATGTACAATCTGAAGCTTCACGTGCTGATAAGTGGAAGAGTTTGGGGATCCCTAGTTTAGACCCCTCACATCTGGGATTGCCAAGAGTTAGCAGCCAACAAAGTTTCCTTTATTTACAGCATTTGCTGTCATCTAGAGGCTGTCCAGATTTTTGCAGCCTATATTCGACTCTCCTCGTAACCCTGAAATGCCCCCCCAAAGTATTACTACTATTCAAAGACATAGAAGAAAAATAAGAAGCAGCTGCCCAACAGTATATCAGAGTTAACCCTCTAAAAAGCAAACTATGCTGAGAAGTCTGGATGAAAGGCTTATCCATGCTGGTGAGAAATGATAACGGATGCAACTCAAGACTTCCAGAAGATAGTATAGGGCCTATACTATACTATAGGCAGTCCTAGAGTCATGACCACAATTGAGCCCAAAACTTCTGTTGCTAAGCAAGACAGTTGTTAAGTCAATTTTGCCCCAGTTGTTAAGTGAATCTGGCTTCCCCATTGAAGGTCAGAAGGTCGTAAAAGGTGATCACATGACTCTGGGAAACTAACTGCCATAATTGCATGCTAGGTGACAAGTATTTGAATTCTGATCACATGACCATGGGGATGCTACAATGGTCGTAAATCTGAAAAATGGTCAGAAGCCTCTTTTTTTGGTGCCGTTGTAACTTCAAACAGTCAATAAATGAATGTTTGTAAGTCGAGGACTACCGGTAAATTGGAATACTGAATACTATATATATATATACACACAGTATTGTAGTGTGCAAATGAAAGGAAATTGCAAATCTGATCCAGATATGGTGGGGGCATGAATAAAAGAGAGTTGGAAAGGACTTTGGAGGTCTTCTAATCCAATATGCAGGGATTTTGTGAGAAAGTCACAGACATGGGCTCTACATCCATGTAGATGTTAAATTGAATAGAACCCCTTTAGGATCAAAGAACTTGGGAGCTGAGATCAACCACCACTCTCAAAGCTGAGCAAAGGAGTCTATGGAGATTGTCAGTCATCCAAGGTCATGGTTGTCCCAAAGCAGTGGTGAAATCCAAATTTTTGTACTACGGGTTCTGTGGGCGTGGCTTGGTGGGCGTGGCAGGGGAAGAATACTGCAAAATCTCTATTCCCACCCCACTCCAGGGGAAAAATACTGCAAAATCTCCATTCCCACCCTACTCCAGGGGAAAAATACTGCAAAATCTCCATTCCAACCCCACTCTGGGGCCAGACAGAGGTGATAATTTTCGGTTCTCCGAACTACTCAAAATTTCCGCTACCGGTTCTCCAGAACCTGCTGGATTTCACCCCTGTCCCAAAGGTGGTTTTTCAATAGGCATCCTCTTGAAAAAGCACCTTCGGGACGAGCAAAGGAGTCAAGAGCAGTGCGGGGGCATCTCCACCAGTGACCATTGGTCTGAGCCCACGTTGGAGCGTGCGAAGGACAGGGAGACGGCTGGAAGGGAACAAGGAAACAGCAGCCAGCAGCGGCAGCCTTTCCCTTACTACCTGCGGCAACCAGTTACGAGTTCCCGGGGAAAGGAGAAATACACTGCAGGAGTAAAATCAACCCCACACCCCACCGGCCCGCGCCAAAGGGCAGCGCGCTTTGCAACCCGGGAGCTGCAGCCGAGGAGGCGGCGAGACCCGGCCGGAGAGGAGATTACCTGACAGTTTCCAGCGCTCCGGATAAGCCAGCGCCAAAAGCCTCTTAGCGTCCGAGACGGCGCGCTCGTTGGGCCCTGCCGCTGGGGGCTGCTCGGTTTCCTGAGGGTCGCCCGGCTTCTTCCCCGCAGATTCGGCGGCCGCGGTTGCCCAGGAGGAGGCGGCGCGGGAAAGGAGCGGCACGCGGCGAAGAGTGCCCGGGGCCAAAGCGGCGACCCTGTACCTCTCCGCGGTCCATGCCGCGCTCCCGGGAGCCGCCGGGTGGAAGAGAAGCCGAGGCCAGGAGGAGCTCCGCAGGCTCTGCCGCCGCCACAGCCGCACCACCAAGGGAAGGCGGAGAGCCAAGCCCGCCATTGAGCCCGCGGCGATTCCCTTCTCTCTGGCCGAGCGGTCAGAGGGCGGCCCCTCTCACGGGCTGGGTCGGCGCGGCCCCATGAAGCGCGGCCCAGCCCTCACTGCTGCCCGCAGATAAGGCTCCCGGCCGAGGCTTCCTCCTCCCTTTGCAACCGGCCGCCAGCGACCCTGGGCCGGGGCTCGGAAGCCGGCGGCGCCCTCTGCTGTTCCGAGCGTTCAGCCAAGAGCAGCAAGCCGTAAACCGCGGTTTGTGCACCGCAGTGCCCGAGTTGGTGCGGCCTGCTGAGTGCAAGCCGGCCGATCTTATTTAACCGGTTTTATTACGTAGTAAGAATCGAAGCCGGCTTGGATTCTTCAGGCTTTTTATAGCTGTCCGCTCAATTGGCTTAGCATCTGCATAAAACTGGGGTTCGCTTGCCTTCTTTTAGTGATGTTTGATTTCACGGGCTATCCCGTGTCATGATCCTGTCCCTCCAAGATCCTGCTTAGCTTTTGGCCTCAAACCTCTTAAAATAAGAATAAAATGAAATATCGCTTTCGTGTTTGAAACTCTTGTTAAAAGAGCACTCTTGTTCAAAGTGCTAAATTGAATTGTATAGCGCCATCTTCCAACTAGAAAAAAGAGTAGCAGTCCATTTTCCGGCCGTTCTATTGACTCTTCCCCAAAACTGTTCCTATAATAGTGTCACCCGCACAAGGGGGACCACGACGTCCAAATGAAGCAGGTTTTTTTAAACTTGTGAATGAAATAGAAATCAGCAACGGCAAGGCTTTCAATCGGATTGAATTGGGTCACTTACAGCCCATGATGTCAGGCTCTGGCGGTCAATTCCTGTCACAACCAATGGATCAACACTCGGTTGATGGGGGGGTGGGGTGGACGGACAGGTTTGTATGCAAAACTTTTAAAGGAAGTTTGTAGAACAAATTTTGCATCTCAAAAACCATATTCCCTCACATACTGTAGTAATTGCATTATTAATATTTGCCTTAGACTTTTTAAAATGTGCTCAAATATTTACAGACTCTTCAGTTCTGAGTACTCAAAGCCACCAACTGAAGAATTAGCTGGTACAAACCAATATAAAGAATTCCAATTATCTCAACAAACTTTGAAGTAATGTAATTAATAGTTTTACAATTCAGATATACCAGGCTTACAAGTATCCATAATTGAGCTGGGTTTTTTTGCGGATGGTCCTGCAAAATGTAGCAAGTACTCCAAAGAACATTTCTGAAGTAAAGCTTATAATGACATTAAGATAGAGGATTTCCAAGTTATTGTATAAATGTAAAAAAAAATGTAAATGTTAGGATATGAAATGTATTGTATCTTTAATTTACAAAGATAATGGGGGAGACTCATTATTGGAGGCTGAATATCCTTCTCAGTGAGAAATGCTGGACACAGTACTGGGAAACTCTTACTGTCTCAGTATCCTTATATGTATATTTTACCTATTAAACTTTAAAATGTATGTTGTATTTTAACTGGCTTCTTGTAGCTCTTCCTTATATTCTATCTAAATGCATGTTTATATTTATACAGAATATAAACAAGTGATTTTCTTTCTACTTTATAAAAAATATTTATATTGTTATGTTAAGGAGATATAAGCTATTTGGGAAGGGAAATTTCTTGCCTTGTCTTTAAAGTTGGCAATTGAAAAAACACTGGCGCTGCCTTTGTTGTAGTGAGAAATTCCAGGACCCAGAATTATTTGTGAGCAGATAATAAATGCCCTTATGAATAATACAAATCTTTATTTCTGTTTAATGGCATTTTAAGCATAATTTTAAGCATAGTTGTTTAGAGTTTAAGCATAGTTAAGTTTTTAAGGATAGTTGTTTAGAGTTTAAAAAATAAGTTCATACGTAAACAGGATCAGTCTGAATAGACACTCCAGCACAGGGATGTCAAGCTCAAGGCCTGGGGGTGCTTAGATCTGGCCTGCAGGGCTGCCCTGGAAACAGTGAAGGACCGGCCCTGGGTGCCTCTGCCAGCAAAAATGGAGCTCATGAGGGCTGCATGTGGCCCTCATGAGCTCCATTTTCGCTTGCAGAGTTTTGCAGGAGGCTGTCGCAGCTGAAAACTGTGCTTGTGAGGGCCGCAGGCGGCATCCCGAGCTCCATTTTCACTGGCAGAGGCTTGTGAGGGCCACAGGCGGCATCCCGAGTTCCATTTTCACTGGCAGAGGGTTGCAGGAGGCCGTCGCAGCTGAAAACTGAGGTTGCGAGGGCCGCAGTTTTATGTTCCATTTTATGACCTTGCCATACTTGTTTAGTGAATCACTGCAGTTATTAAATTAGTAACACGATTTTTAAGTAGAGCCTGTAGTACAGTGGACTAAAGCACTGTTATTAACATCTGCTGCTTGCAATTACTGCAAGTTCAAATCTCACCAGGCTCAAGGTTGACTCAGCCTTCCATTCTTTCAAAGGTAGGTGAAATGAGGACCCAGATTGTGGGGGCAATAAGCTTTGTATAAATATACAAAAGTATGAAGGCTATTGCTTAACGCATTATAAGCCGCCCTGAGTCTCTGGAGAAGCAGAGATTAAAGCAAAAAAAAAAAAAAGTAAATCTGGCTTTCCCATTGACTTTGCTTGTCAGGTTACAAAAGATGACCCCATGACCCTAGGACATTGCAACCATATAAATATGAGTCAGTTATCAAGCATCTAAATTTTGATCATGATGTGTTGCAACAGTCATGTCACTTTTTTCAGTGCCATTGTAACTTTGAATGCTCATTTTTATTACATGTTATATGGTTGCATAGAATAATAATACAGAACTGGAAGAGTTCATGTAAGCCACTCAGTCCAATGCCTTGTTTAGGACATATATCCAAAGAATGCATCCACAAAGATGGCTTTATACTACTTGAACACATCCAACAAAAGGGAGTTCTCCACTTATCCTGGTAATTAGCTTTACTGTCAAATTGCTCTTATTAGTTCTATTATTTTAAATAACATTCAATCTGAATCTATCTTCATGTAAGTTAAATCCATTAATTAATGTCAACTGTGGCAGAATTATAGTTAACATTCTTGACTTTGCACTTCAACATGCTATCATGTCCCCTCTCAGTCACCTTTTTTTCATGGCTGAACATACTTACCTCACTCATTTTTTAAAATTTTTTTTAATTAGGAACATCTTCCTTGATTGTCTTTGAACTCATTCTATTTTTTTAAAAAAATTCAGAGCTGAAGAAGCTTCTTGGATGAGAAGTGAAACGTCATCAAAGAAAAATAAGAAAGCCCAGTTGCCTCTTGAAAAAGATCTTTGGGCCAACCCAAAGTACAAAAAGCCCTCCTGGCCATGCTCCTCAAGGATTTCCAAATTGCAAACCAGTCTCGGGCAATCCAGTACCAATGATGGTAAAGTTTCAGATCTAGAAGACCCTAAAACTCAAAGCACCTTTGGGGTAACTATGATCTGGGTGACTGAGACTCTCCATAGATATAAAAATGCATATCTTTTCCTCGGCTTTTAACTGTTAATTACTTTCAATATAAGTTTAAACTTCTCACATTTTTTGTCAAGTCTTGAATACCTGCCTGGATAATAAACAAATAGACTGAAATATAAAGTATATGAGGGATGCACTAAGACACTGAGCTTGTCAATCGAAAGGTCGGCAGTTCAGCAGTTCGAAGCCCTGCTACGCACACATATGTATGTGTATATGTGTGTGTGTGTGTATGTATATACACACACACACACACACACACACACACACATATTCATATATACCAGAGGTGGGTTTCAGCAGGTTCTGACCAGTTCTGGAGAACCGGTAGCAGAAATTTTGAGTAGTTCCGAGAACCGGTAGTAAAAATTCTACTACCCGCCCCATCTATTCTCTGCCTCCCAAATCCCAGCTGATCGGGAGGAAATGGGGATTTTGCAGTATCCTTCCCCTGCCATGCCCACCAAGCCACACCCACCAAACCATGCCACACCCACCAAGCCACACTCACAGAACCGGTAGTAAAAAATTTTGAAACCCACCATTGATATATACATATACATATATATATATACATATATATATATAAATATACATATATATACACACACACATATATACACATATACATATACACATACATATATATATATATATACACACACACACAGATATGTGCATGACTAGCACATATGTGCGAGGGGAACCTTTACCTTTTTTATAAGGTATATGATCTATATAGCATCTGATAACAATTTGATTTTAGTGCTCAGCTTATTGTATAAGACTATCTGTATTAGCCAGCTCCAAAACACAAAATGTACAAGGCTTTCTGTTCATGAAGTATTTATTACGGTTCAACTCCGCTCTTTAACAATATAAGCCTGTGCATTTAAACAATTGTGCTATTTTAGATCAATGCAGCTTAATTCTTGCTGTCTGTGGCATACATTTACTGTTTGTGGATGTCTGTGGGTTTTTGTTGTTTTTTGGAATCATAGCCTAATCTCAATAATCCAAGATCTGTAAAAGAATTTTGCTGCCATTCTGATTTGGAAATTCTTGGTTTTTTTGTGTGTGCCCATCCTGTATGGACAGCTAGAATCAACTAGTCTCATCCTTGCAAGAGGTAAGAGGGGCATGAATCAGAATGGAGGCTCCCATACTCTGGAATATACTTCCCCAAGAAAAGTCCTGGCACCACCATACACTATCTGCCATTTTAGAAGACATTTTTTCAACAGGCTTTGGCACCTAACACCTATCTTTTTCTTTTGGTCCGTATTTGTTTAATGTTGAGTTAATTTACTGTGCATGTTTTGGTGACTATTTTTAGATGTGTAATTCATGCTCCTTCAAAAATTGCTACTGAACTGAATTTTAAAGTGATGGAAGTAGAAAATAATCAAATGCATGAGTACTTGAATTGTGTGATTTAAATGTAATGAAGTTTAGTGTCCTTTGTCACAGCTCCTTTCTCTTTCAAACTACAGTCTCTATTATAACACTTTTCTCCTCAAAAGTTGAGCATTCCATCTTAAAGAAACATAAAAACAACATCCAACATTGTGCAAATGTACTTTCACTTGGGTAACAGAATTCCTCTACTTTTCTCTGCAATTCTGTGAGCCCTCCAAAATCTGCCCTGGAATATCTCAATTGTACAACATTGAGGGGACTGTTTTGAGGACTGCAGAGGGAATAAACTTTCATATATTACGGAAAGAAACCCTGAATTAGCTTTGCTTCCTGGCTATAGCTATTTATATTGCATTGGTTTTTTTAAGCATCAGAAACTTTTGTATACTTTTATTAAAGTTGATAAGAAATGGTTGCTCATTTTGTTGCATTTTAAAATAGCAATCAGAAATTTGAAACATGTTGTATGTTAGCTTTGTTTAAAATCTGCTTTCTTCAGCCTCCACTTCTTTGCAAAATTTATAAATTAAGTGCATAAAACATGAATAGCGCTTGTAACATATATCTGGGTAAGAAACCTGTCATGGATTTTATTTCAA